ATGTTCGGTGTGACGGGGATTCGAATCCGCGACCCGCAGATTGCGAGTCGAGCTCCTTAACCATCTGGCCATGCCGGGCCTCTACATGATCAGTGATAGCCCTGCATTAAAACTAAGAGAAATGGACAAAACAATTGATCATTTGAACACAACTTGGAAAAAATTAAAGTTTTCACAACAAAAGAACAGACATATGAAACGAACTGTTATTTCATTAAACGTGATTGTGTAAGCTCTGAAAATAAAATAAAATTTAATACCCACCAATGGTTTGATATGCTGAAAATCACCTTTTTTGATACCCCTTTAGAAATCTTTAAAAGGACATTGATTATTAACAGAACAAAAAAAATTGACTTACAAAGCATATCTTCCACTTTTGTGGTCTTTTTGATTTTTCACTGCAGTTTTACTACAAAGCCTACATTTTTTTAAGATGTACTTTCAGTCTTGGTCTTGCTCTACCACATTCATCTGTTACTTAAAGTGGTGTGAAAACATTAATGACGCACTAGGCTTTACACAAGAAGCATTAAGTGAATTACAAAACGTGACCAAAAAATGGAAAATAAGGAACAAATGAAGATACTTGTGCTTTAATGCTAGATGAAATGATCATAAGAAAACATGTGAGGAGGATGGAAAGGAATTTCTTGGCTATGTTGATGTTGATACAAATTATTCTTGTTATCGACGTATTGGTTCTTTCTCTGAACAGCAACTGGAAGGTGCCTATTGGCTATTTCTTTATTAATGGCATGATAGAACAAAGAACGAGCAACCTTGATGAGAATATGCTTACAAAAACTGTCACATGTTGAAACTACAAATTGGGCACTTGTTTGTGATGGTCCAAGTTGCCACTGGGTACCTATATGTTGCCAGGAAAATTACAGCCATGGTTTTTCCATTTTAACAATGAAAAATATAAAACTTGTATTATTTGTAATTAAACACAAAGCTACATATTGGGCTATCTGTGCTCTGCCCACCACGGGTATCGAAACCCGGATTCTAGCCTTGTAAGTCCACAGACATGCCGCTATGCCACTGAAGGCAACTTACGTTATACTTGATATATGTCATATATTAAAGCTCATTCCAAATACGTGTGGAAAATTTAAGACGTGAAGATGGTGAATTTATTGAACAGCAGTTCATTACTGATTTCCTCAGATTGTAAGAACAAGGATACATAGCTGGTTATGTAGTCAAAAAGACACATAAAAAACAAAAATAATGTATTATACAACTTGTTTGGAGCGGAGGCTTGGCAGATGAAAATACTTGAAACTTAAATTTTACAACATAAAAAATTAGAGGTGGTTTGGTAAAGGCATCATCAAGTGCAAGTAAAATTTGTCAGGCAATAGAGTGGTGTTTTGAAAGATTTGTGAAGTCAACAAATACAGAAATTCCTCTTGTAACAACAATTTGTCTTGGAATAAAAATTGCTATTTTGAAAGTAGTTTTGAATGAAGTTTTTTCTGGTTTATTGTGGACACACATTTTATTGTACACTGGAAGGTAACTATGTTTACAACTTGAAGTGTTTAATTATGTGTTATATAAAAGTATGAATGCATCATGTATTCACTTGGCTAAACAACAGTCTGCAAAAGTTTCGGGTTAAGAAGTGAAACAAAAAGCTTTGCAACTTCATTTTATTTAAACATAAGTAGTTTCAAATCTTAGAGTATTAAAAAGGTTTGTACAATATCCAATATTCAAATCTATACCTCACAATTATTAACTAATTATCTTATAATTTGTGACATTAAATGTAAAAATATGAATATAGATATTGTGGTGCAATTTAACGCAACTCAGTAGTACATGTACTTTACTAATTAACTTGTACACATAGATGGTATTCAGAATAACATTGTCATATTGTATAGATAAACGATCAACTACAGCAGTTTCAGTATTAACAATTTCATTTGTGTAATTCAAATAAAGATTATAAATAAATAAACAGTATAGAAATAAATAATATTGTGTTATTAATTCTAACCTAAAAATCTAATTTGTAAATGAAATAAATTAGTAACTAGATATATTTCCGCAAGGTCCCCAAAAGTGGTGTTTCAAGAGTAAATAAAACCAAAATTAAGAGTAACAAATATTTTTATTTCTTGCTTTCGAAGTTCACATGTCATGCTGTAGTGTAGCCTACAGAGTGCATAATTTTTCTGGTGATTCATGGCATGCGCACGTTTTACTGATGTCACGACAGTACAAGTTTCAATATTAAACGTCCCTTATGTGACGTCATTTTAGTGTCTACTGACTGACTGACAGACAACACACTACTGTACAGTGGTGCAATTGGTTAAGCCAGGTGACCCCTATAATTCACTTGCTTAATCTGATTCACACCCTAACAGTTTTTGTTCATGAAACTTGATATAGACGTATATAAACTTAGTGCTTAGATCGCAACTATGTCTGTCATATCCTGATGAGTTCGAATATTGAGCGAAAGGCCTCGTTGGTATTGGATATAGCAGATGTAGTGTAGTTGACATAACATATTCTCCTATGGTTTCACTCTTGGGTTTTTAGAGTTTGTACTGTACTTTCTACTTGTATAAGCTTATACCGAAATTTGGCACTTTCTTTGGTTTGGTTTCGAATTTCGCACAAAGCTACACGAGGGCTATTTGCACTAGCCGTCTCCAACTTAGCAGTGATAAACTTAGCCATAAAAAAACAACAAGAAACGCACTGGGTACTTTGGGCCGTGAGTTGCTATAATAGTGACGGTCAAATCACACTCTTCGGTCAGACAAGAGTAGCTCAAGAGTTGGCGGTGGGTGATGTTGACTAGCTGTTTTCCCTCTAGTCTATTAGATCAAAATCAGGGACGACTATGTGCAACGAGCACTTTTGTAGCTTTGCACGAAGATCTGAAACTAACTAAAACCATAGAAAATGGAAATATTTCCATGTAGTTAAACCAGACAGTGAAAAGTTGAGAAGATAAAGCAACTTTCTATGAATATATAACACTTTGCGAACCCCTTTGGAGCCTCCCACGTCCCCCTGTGGAGTCACGACCCACTGCTTAGGACAATTAATCTAGGGTAGAGGTATGCGTTCAATAAATTGTGATCCAACAGTCGTTTACTACCACCTTTACCAAATAACCTGAAAGATTTGAAGCAAATTATACAACCATAGCACCGTAAGTGTCGCAAAACGAAAGTCGCACCTGAGTGACAAAGTGTCGTGATATTAACTTAACGGTGTACGTTGCGAACGGCCCCCCAGTAGCACAGCGGTATGTCTGCGAACTTACAACGCTAGAAACCGGATTTCGATACCCGTGGTGGGCAGAGCACAGAAAGCCCATTGTGTAGCTTTGTGCATAAATTCAAACAAACATAAACGTTGCGAACGGCTACAAGGGTAGGACTAAAGGAAATTTGGTGGTGTACGGCTTTTGTATCACCGTGTATAAATGTGTTACATTTTATTGAACTGTGGTGATAATTACAAGAAAATTAAGGTGTAAGTTTTGAATGTATAACACGTGAGTCAGCCTGTTCTATATATATGTTAAACACTAATTCTTTACGACACTGCTCTGGCTTTTTGTTTTTCCATTTGTGCTTCGGGGGGTTAGCAGTAAGTATGAAGACTTACAACACTAACATCAGGGGTTCGATTCCTCGCGGCAGATAGAGCGCGCAGATTAGTGGCACAGATAGCATTGTGTAACTTTAACTAAAAGTAGTTTTTTTTCTTTGTATTCACGTAATTTCATAAGTAAGAAATGTCTATTTTTCGCTCATGCTGGCGAACCGTGAGAAAAAAAGGAGAATTTGTGTATTTTGTTATATCAAAAAATAAAACTATTCCAAAGTTATTCCTGTAGTCGTAATAAATACCAGTTCAACCACATAGCCTTGATTAGTGGACACTATGCAACCGGCAGTCAACTACAAAATGGTTTAAAAGAATAAATCGTTAAACAGAAAAAGTTTTATAAATATAAAAACAAAACAGAAGTTTAGGGTGTTAAGTGGTCAACATTCCAGATTCGTCGTTTTAAGTGTTGCTTTAACATTGAGTAATATCAATAAATCCTTCTGATGTACATTTTCCTAATTTGTGGAAAGTGTAGTAATAACTATTAATTCTTATTAAAAATTAACATACATAACGAAACGAACAAGTAAGCCTATCCATTTTGCTGACATAATTACATTGAAAATTAATTATTTGCAGAAGTTTGGAATTTTTCAACCTGAACGGCACCTTATTTGACACGTAGGCTAACAGACTAAGTTTCTGGTATAGCCGTACCTAAGCGTACTAGAGAAAGTTCAAAAGGTGTACCAGTCAGCAATATTCGCCATGTACACGCCTACTGTTAGCCGAATAACGGGATTGACTGCCACTTTTATAACACGCTTACTATTGGAAGTTAGAAGCGTGTTCAGCAGCATGTAGCCGGCTCGAACTTTGGACTTCTCATGCGTAGCCCAGCACGGTAACCAGCCACTGCAAGAAGTAAAATCATATAAATATAGAGAAATCTTAAGAAAATTGTGGTTGATTACATATCTGATGAACGCGAGATGGGATTTTGTAAATTATTTAATGAATAAAAATTCTATGACCCGAGCGCTTTTGAAAGGTGGACCTTCCTTTTTCGAATAATGGTCCAAAACGCTCGCAACAAATGATATTAATAATTACCAAAAAATTTAATAAAATAAATCGCAATTTATAGTTGATATCGTGTTTCTGTTTTACATGTATTTGTATGTTTAACTCTAGACTTTTCTGAAAACAACACATACACAATTGTAAATGTATAAACATAAATTGTGAAAATCTTTGGTTGCTGACACGGTTGTAAAAGAACTTGTACAGGAGACACAGGTAATCTTTTTTTTTCTTCATCAACTGCTTTATTGTTTTATTTTAAATCCACTTATGTTAAGTTAATGTCTACGACAATGATGGTCGGAACACTCTAGCCCCCTTTCCTAACTCTGGGTTGAGTGTTACTAGAATGAAGTCTCATAGAAGGCCATTTTTATTAATTTTGAGTTTGGAAAAAGTATAGTTTTATTCCATTCATCTAAAAATGAAGTAAGAGATCTTAATACAACAGATGTTAAGTATAGGACTCTTACAATAGTATACACCCAATATCAATTAGCAAACAAATATATAGTGTATTAAAACCTGAAATACCACTGAAAAATAGCTAAAATCGTCATAAAAATATATCAGTTTTTGTATTCCTATATTAGTATGGTGAGTGTCAACAAAAATACTTGGTGTTAATAAAAAGATGAGGTTTTATGATGAAATTATTTATTAAAAAATATTACTCTATAATGAGACGATAGTTTGAATGACTGCCTTTAGATAATAAACGGTAACGACTAAGAAGATGCCTTTTTATATTGTCTCAATTCTGTAAAAAAGGGGGATTTTCCGAAAACAAAAAAACAACAAGATTTAAATTTCTAGTAATCCAAATCCCGGAGTTATAATAGTTTACACCTCAACGTATATATATATATATATACACGTGTGTGTGTGTGTGTGTTACTGGCATTTGTGAGACAAAGAAAGAAAATTCCAAAATACTTTTACTGATTTTTATTGTATACTTTTTCTTACTAAATCCAATAAAATCATTCGTTTAAATTTACAAAGATTGTTTTTCATCATAATCATTCCTTCTTTTTATCTTTACAGGGTGACAAACCCCTTCTTATACAGCATGCTCCAGACTGTAACACACCTGAGAAAAGACGACAGATGGAGTTACAAATAGTACCACTACACACCTAGCCCCAGTAGTATTGGATTTGACTGAACGAATACAAAGACCTAAAAGTTAGAAATCTATTACGCACTAGTTGCTTGAAAGGAGATCAACTATAGTTTGTTTGTTTTTTAAGAATGCTAACACATCGGTGTATCAAGATTTTGTCGCCGTTTCTTGCAATAATGTTATTGCGAGGTTTTGTTGAAAGCTGTCCAAAAGCCTGCCCGATTTGTTTCGGAGGAATGGAGGTACAGATTTACATTTTTAAACAATCTATTTTCTAATGAATTAGCAGACTGGTTTAACCTAAGCGATTAAATAATTCATTATTATTCTGTAGCCTATGACGTTACTGTTTGTATAGGTTTCTTTTGTTACATTTACCCTTTTAAGTTCCAGGCAATAACTAAACAAAACCTACTATAATAATTATTATGATGTCAACGCTTTTCACAAGCAGGCGAAACATGATTATAATTATGTTTGTCATAATAAATTAATATTAGGCCTATTATATTTTCAAACACTACATTCTTTATCTAGTCCCTAAGAGTGTTTCAAGAATTAGAAAACTATATGACTATAATATTGAAACCACACTGTTGTTACAACAGCGGTAGTCACGTGACTATGGTAACACGTCATGATATTCTAGAAGTATCGGGGAACATCAAGAATAATCCAGTATGTGCTAGGCGCCCTCTATTCCTGTATATAAGTGCGCCGGATAAGGTGAGACAAATTGATCGGAATTGATTTGCAGACAGGCAGAGATAAAGATAGGCAATTGAGTCAAGCGCGGTAGTGATCGTAAGTAAG